ATTTGGAAGAAAACCAGCTTCGCGTAGAAATGCCAATCTTGGTTTCGAGTGACGACCGTGAAAGCAGAGAAAACCAATTAAAAATCATTAAAGCAGGATATTAAAATGTCAGACCATTAAGTGATGGGGTGATTAAATATGACAAATAACAGCTGAATAACAAATAACCAGAATTACAGCTCATTTTTATTCATTATCTACTTTACTAATTCAGTATTCAGAAATAGGAGGAAATACTGGTTAGACTGACTCAGTTATATCCTTGCAGTGCTATCTGATCATTACAAGCTTGAATAATAAACATACAAATAAGTATTCATTTAAAAAAAAAAATCTATCAAAATCTATTTAAAGGACAGAATATTCATTTTGTCAAATCTGTGGTATTGAACTGATTCTTAACCCATTCCCAACTCCCCCTTTCAAAGTAGTTATCATGGGAGTCAATATTGAGCCCCACTGAAGCTTCTCAATATTCAGGATCCATGCCTCCACCTGCTCCTCCTGCACCTGAACATTAACCGTGCTGCTGGATGGCCCCTGCTTGGCTACCTCTGGTCCCTCTCAGGACCCCCATCCCTATTTCCCTCCATCCCTCCTGTCATGGGAGAGGAATGCTGAGAAAGATAAGACCACTTCAAAGACACACCCAGTTGTAGAAAAAGTGCGCGCACACACACACTAGCATGAAAGAAGGCATTGGATGAATCCTTTATCTTTAAGAGTAGAAGGACATGCATGAGGGACCCTATCTCATGCATGCATATGGGTATGCACAAGGTGAACAATGACACGCAGCCAGAAGGAAACACACGTTATCGGCCAGAGCAACTGTTGCCAAGAGCTGATTAGAGAATAAACAGTGAAAAAAGGCGACGTTTCCCCCCCCGAAAAGGAGGAAAAAAAATCAACATTAGTAGGGAAGCGACAAACTTTAAACTAGAGATGGATTGTTAAATAAATCAAAGACTGAAACATCATATTAATGATGCCGCGTGTGAAACTGGATAGCCGCTCACAGTCAAGTGCTACTTCGGCCACTCCAAAGTGTAAATAATCAGAGAGACAAAACCAAAGTTTGCACCACGCCTTAGTAAAGACGTGGTTTTGTTTAACGCAGCTGGGATACAAGTTCTAGGAAGGGCGGCATGAAAAATAAAACGATGCCTGTGTCTCAGAGAGAAAAGAAACGCCATAATCTACAACCTTTTTCTTTTTCTCTACTCTAAAAATTTGAGTGGTTTTCTATTTTCCCCAAATTGTGATTTGGAGGTCGTTGTTGCAAAGCAGGCAAGCTGTTCCCCAGATGAGCTCCCTCCTCTCTTTACTACCCCATCCACAACCACCACTATCTGTGGTGTATCTCTCCATCTCCATGCTAATGCCCTGTAATGATCTGAGGCACGTTGGGATGAAAAAAAAGGAGAGAAACTTGTTCCCAGCGCAGCTTTGTAGTGCTTTCTGTTGTTGTTGCCATAGTAACACAGACCAGGAACTCAAACTGACACAGCAATGCTTATTTGCATGACAGGACAAGAAGATCATATTCTTCTTAGACTTTGAATGGGTATCACTTACTTATGCTACATATGAATAATCAGATCCATTAAAAATGCACAACCAGCAGTCGCATCAACTTATTAAGAAAAAAATATAAATTTGTGGATTTTTTAAATATTTCTTTTTATATAGGCAAAGACTGTTAATAATAAATCTATGTTCACATAGTCTGCATGGATCATTGTGCATGCATTATACAGATGCATGTATCGCAGAGTATCTGAATGAGGAGGTTTCTTGAGCAGTTCTATTTGTTTAATTTTATCATTCATCCTCCAATCTTCACACACACACACACACACACACACACACAAACCTGCGTGCGGTCTTGCTTTGACTTTGAAGTTCTGCTGGATCGCCTTTAAAGGCCGTCAGTGTTGCCACGGCAGCAGGCAGGTAGCAGACATCAGGCTGCTCAGTGTGTTCGAGAAAGTGTGTGCGTGTGTATGCAGCCTGAGTATTTAATTAGCTAAGAGCCCAACGGGCCACTTGCCGTTTTCAGTGTTTAAACGAGGGAATGACTGGCTCGTTACTGATACTAACAACAAGGATAATTTATGCACAAACGGATCCGTCTGCTGTGTTTAAGGACGTTCTCTGTAGCTGGGCTGACAATGACAAGCAAACAATAAGAAAACACAACCATCAGTGTCCCCTTATGATATTTACACCGATATTTACTAAATGCTACAAAAATGTGTTTTTTTGTTGCATCATGGTGACTGAAAGAAAGGAAGAGGAGTAACAACCATACAATCTTTTCCTCAAACAGCCACAGTGTTATTGTTAGTGTTTGTCTAAGACCACTTTGACCATAGAAGAAGAATCCTGGAAGACCTTTGGGTTTCTATTATGCTACAACGAACAGCTAAAACCCACTCGGGGTGAGTGATGGCACTGTGACGAGCTTGGGCCATGTATAGCTGGAACTGGAGCTACAGTTGCTGAATAGGCCGAGCCGGCGCTCTGTTTAATTGTGCAGAACATGATCTAGTCTTGCCACAGAAACTATAATCTGCTTGTGGCCAAGTAATATGGCCCTGTATGGGATTAATTACCCAGTGGAATGTACTGACTGGCTCGCTGGTTGGTTTGCTGATTGTCTGCAGTCTGCTGAAGTCGAGCATTTCAACATATGCAGCTCTGGATAGAAGAGAGTGTTGAAGCTAAAGGAGTTAGTGTTGGATGTGGCATTTAGAGTAGATTACATGTTATTTTTTATCCATTCCTTTAATAATATTTTCCTCTATAGTAGGCATTCTGAAACATTGTAGCTACAAGTTTAATTAACAACACTATTTAGGTGTGGCTACATTCCATTTAGGTAAAGCTGTTTCATTGCCCTGCATTTGTGCACTACAATAACTTCTTGAACCACGCAATGTATGTGAGTAATCATTATCGGAAACAGTTAAATCTGCACTTTCAACGCTCAACACAACTGCCTCAAAGCAGGAGCTGCAGCAGTATATCATGCTGAAAACATAGTCAATGTGTTTGCAAAGCGTTGTGTATTTAACAATCAGACAGGCCCAAAGAAACACTGACATTCTTCCTCTTCAGACATCCTTCGCCACCATTCGATTGCGTGTCCTTAAAAGTTGTCACAGCAGTTGTCTGAATGTGTTGCAGACACATTAATGAAATGCACATGCTTAAGACTCCATATGTCTTTGAGCTTCTTTGTGGAGCTCACTGAAAACTTGATTGTTGTGGACCACGGGGCTCCACAATCTTTGTATATGTGCCTTAGACCAAACATACCAACAACATAGCATTATTAATGTTATTAATACTTCTCATCTTATCCTTCATTGAATCCTCATCCTTGCTGGATGTCGTCACTTAGTCAAAATGTTTGACACTTTTCCACAGATGCTGGAGAATATGGCTCATCTTGGACATCTTTTTAATACTGATCGCCTTTCATACTTCATACATACTTTTTTTTTTTTTTTTTTTTAACTTGAGCCACAGTGAGTTTTACTTTTTACTTTTCTTTCTTAACCACTTTTAATCCAGAGGAAGCACTTAATCCAATGCCTATTTTGTGTCTGCACAAATTTTTTGAACATTTCTAAAGAGATATTAGTGACTGAGGACCAGTCTGGATGGCAGAAAGGGTTGAGGGCGCACATACGCATAGGTCTTCCTTCTGGCGACAAAGATGGAGAGAAGTAAACAATCCAAAAGTGTATTTACCCTTCACTAGAGTGACACTGACAATGTTCAGTAATCGTATGAGTATGTCTGAGTGAAGCAATCATGTATATAAATGACAGAATATGGTTACTTTAACAGATTTCACAATTGAGCAATGATGGGTATCTCACTGACTTAAAAAGAGCATATTTATTGTTAAATACTGTGTTACAGGCCACCCTCACTTACTCCTGTGGGAAATATATGGCTTTTTAGTTTATTCAAAACAGCTGTATGCTGCATCTGGAAACAGGACTGATGAGAATCATGAGACTGAATCGAAACAAATTGCTGAATGATGGTAGTAAGCTGAGTGGAGGCTGAGGAAAAGTGAATTAAACAAGAACTGTTGGTGGATTCACCGCACGTCATTACTTTGCCATTTTATCAATTGTTGATATCAAATATTGATCAGTGTAGTGTTCATGTTTTTTAATTTTCTTGACTCAATGTGCATCACCCCATAACACTCTTTAATATTAACCAATACCCAGGCTGTTTCTCGTCCATTAAATATCAGCCATATGATTGTGTCAAAGTCGACAGTTTTGTTTATCAGCTTTCATTACTATAGAGACTACTCGGTTTATACAATAGGATTAGATTTGCCAGTTTTCATCAAGTCATCGCAAACACCAGTCACATGTGAAGCTCTGAGACTTTCAAGGCTCTCAACTCAGTACTAGTTTCAGTTATGAGAAGAGATCAAAGAGAGCGCGCAAGGGTTGACTTGTTAAAGCCAAACTCCGCCTTAAAACAGAATTCATACACGCTGTTTTTATGATCAAAGACTCAAAGTCAGTAGACATAAACAACTCCTTTTAATAAAGTCTGAAGCCACAAAATCGAGGCCCAAATCTGTGATATTAATGACTCTTAAAAAAAAAAAATCATGCTTGCTAACATTAGACATGTTGGAAACTTTGCTGCCGGTTTCAGTACAGATAGTGATAATGCACCGTGACTCTCCATGTACCTGCCACAACGGCAATGTGACAACGTCAGAATATGACTGGGTTGGTTCTGTATTGTGTTTGTGCCTGAAAATCTGCCTGATCGTCCTTTTACTCCTCATTCTGTTGGATTTTGGAAAGACATCTGATGCTGAAATGCTGATGAAGTATCTTAAACAGACTAAATAATTATCAATGGAGTCTAAAGCATAGACCCAGGATGTAATTACCCATGAAACGTCTTTAATTCAACACAACTCTCTGTTTAGCCTTTTCCCATCATACCTGAGTGCTTCTTCCAGTTTGGCTATCTTCCTTTTAGCCTCTGCCTTTTCCTTCTCTGCCTCAGTTTGAAGTGCCAAAACCTTAGACAGATAGAGAGGGAGAGAGAGAGGAAGAGGAAGAGGGAGCGAGGATGAGAGTATAGGAGGAACAGAGAGAGAGGTGCGAGTGAGTGCAAAAGCAGACACCATCAAACATCACTCAAGGAAACTCTTCTGCCTGTGACCTTGTGCATCTGGTCTCATCTCTTCTATCACCCCATCAAAAGTAGCTGAGCCCATCCCGCCTGCCTTAGAGGGCCTCTCAATCTGGATCTATGGCAGCCATATGGGACCTTCTCATGTCCAGATACCATACCACAGTCTCCTTCTTGTGTATCCTTTAGCACTCCTCGGGAGCGGAGCGAGGAATCTTTCCAGAGTAAACAAAAAGGAAAATGAACAACGGACTTGTCTGTCTTTCATTCCCCCGTCACCTCGTGAAGCAAAGAAAGAAGAGGAAAAGGTAGGAAAAAAAAATACAGGTGGATTACGAGGGCAAAAAAAGAAAGAAACACACACACACACACACACATCAAAAGCAATCCACTGAGGGAAGCTTAATTTAAATCCTCCTTGACCCCAAATAAAGAACACACATGCCTGCTAAGTTTTTGCAGGTGTATCACTCACAGGCAGCCAGATGTGTATGCCAGCCTGCCACCAAGATGTGGGACTTTGAAGATGACCCAGCTGCAGTGTGGAGTTTAAACCTGATCTTTACCTATGAAGTCTGGCCTGGCCTAGTCTGGTCCAGCTCAGATCATTAACAATAGCCTTTGTACTTTATGCTTTATGGCTGCTCTATGGCTTTAAAAAGGGTCTCTCAAAGGAGAGGGGGTAATCAAGCACAGGCCTGGGTACAGAGACAGTGCATACTTCAGACAGACCCCCCCCCAAAAAAAATGTTTATTTCAATTTGCTTCTAACTTGTTTCTTATTTTTACAACTTAATAATTCTTGATCTAAATTACCAACTTACCATCCTGCCTTCCTTTGCGCCAGCCTAACATCTACCTGTTAACTGAGGCTTTTAGGATTTTACAAGAGCAGAGAACCATGAGGAACATGCGGCTCCAAGCTTTGATCTCCACTAATCACTTTGTTCGGGGGTGGTTTTGATATAATGACAGGAGGTTACTGAGCTTGGCAGATGGATTTTTCCTTATGGAACAGGAACACACTACCTTTTTCTCACAGCTGATCAGCAGTTCATCTTTTTCCTGCTGAAACTTCATCTCTTGATCCTGAAAGGAAGCAGAGTCGAATCAATAGGTCAGAGAGAGCTGCTAATGACAAGCACTTTTAAAGCTCGTATTGTTGCAGTGACGAAAGAGAGGTTTAAAATGAGCGTCGCCACCCGAATCATATCATACCCTGACTTGTTGGTGTCTTCGATGTTCACTGTCCTCGAGCTGCTGTTTGATCTGAGCCACAGTTTTCTCTAAATCTGCCATCACCTCAGAGGCCTGCAATAGAGAGTGGAGAGATTTGCTAAAAGTTGTGTGTTATTAATCAGTCAGCAGCAAAATTTAGCAGGCCGAGGGAGATACGTGTGAGTGTGTTGTGGTAATGTGAACCTTAGCAGCCGAGAGAGCATGCTCATGGTGCAAGTGGCTCAAGTCGGTCTCGTACTTGACTTGGAGCTTCTGCGTGGCCTGCTCATGCTGCTCGCTCAGCTCCTCCTTCTCCTTCTGCAGGATCATAATCCTGTGAAAAGCTAACAGCTTGACTCAGACTTCATGAAAGAGTTTCACACATACAGATCCGTTTCTATTCATACACCATTTTTACTGTCCATCCGCTGCACACTAGCAATAGATTACATAAAGCTTTCTTAAGATGTGAAGAAGACATTTAAATTAAAAAGCACATGGCAGTAAAACCTAGTCATGAAAAGCTGGTTAGTGTTGAAAAGCTTTCAATATTAGCACTAGCTACTCTTCTCCTCTTTATCTTTCAATCCACCCCTATACCACACGCCAAACAGGTTCATACCGTCTGTTGGCCTCCTGGAGTTCAGTGCTGATAGATGCAATGTGGATCTCCAGCTCAGCCTTCTCCTGTGTCACTTTCTGACGCAGCGTGTTGCCCTTCTCCACTTCTGCTGACTGCTGTTTCACCCGGAGCTCGAGCTCTCTCATCGTTTGCTCCTGGACACACAAGTTGTTACGAAATCAAACAGCTTGAACCACCAAGGGCGTCAGCACGGGAAAATGAGCATAAGTCAGAGGATCGCATGCTCCACAGAAATCAGGTCACTGATATGAACGTATCGAAGCTAACATGTGGCTAACGGTGCAGCTGAATGATCCTCTCACTTCACTCATTGACAATAAATGATAATTACTCCAAAAATGTGTAATACTATTACATGCTAATAAAATTTGTAGCTGAAAATCCTTCCCTGCTCCACATGGCAAACTTTTAGAAGACTCCTTTGTAAGAGAAAAGACGAGATAACCTTTACTGTCATGTAAGCATACGAAGACTCAAGTTAAAAACAAACAAAAAAAACAACTCAGATATACATGTTTCTAGTCAGCTGTTGTTCCTCTGTTACATTCTGGCTACTGTTTAAACTTATTACCCAAATTGAGGCATAAGAATAAACTCATAGTGATACCAGCTGAAAATGTAAAAGTTAATGAATGCTTCCATAATGTATAGCTCTGTGTAAATAATCATTCTGTACATTCTATAATCTTTAATCCTACAACTGTTTACAACTTGCATAGTTCCCATTTCTGTATAGCTGTATATCCCAGATTCTGTAAAGTTATTTATTTCATATTCTGTATAGTTTTTCATATTTATATCCTGTTCATATCCTGTACATAGCTTGTACTCACTACAGCCTGTACATACTTATAGTTATAGAATATTCACAACATACTTCATACCGTGTACATTATAACATACCATAATAGACCCATTTCTGTAATATACTCACATATCTATATTATTGCTAATATATATTGTAATATATCTATATCACTAAAGCACTTCTGGATGGATGCAAACTGCATTTCGTTGCCCTTTACCTGTGCATGTGCAATGACAATAAAGTTGAATTCTATTCTATTCTATTCATAATAGCAAACTGCACAGGCCGCATTTTCTTTCTACAATTCCAGTAACATACAATAATCAGTTGTTAGATGGGTCAGTGTGTGAAAATTGCCTGATATTACTGGCAATTTCAAAGTCTAGCCACATCTCTTAAATTACTGACATTTAACTCTGGTGGCAGTAAAGTGCTGGTACATCAACATAGGGCATCATAAAAAGCCTATAACTTCATCGATTTAAATATCTGAACATGGTGATCCTGCATCAGATCAAATGACTCCAGCATACACAATGACAGCGTTGAGGTATTTCAGTCTCTTTTCCACTGTCAAAAACTTGATCAAGATTCAGACTTTCAGAAGACAATGATCAAAGTCCAGCCTAAACAGACAGCTTCTTCCTACACTGTTTTGATTAAAAAGAACTTCCCTTCCCTGCCTACTGTCCATCAACATGCACATATGTGTTTTCGTGTGTGTGTATGTACACATGACAGCGTGGAATGCAGTGTAGGCGGGCCGATAAAGGCGATGACGGGGCGCTGATTAAAGACGGAGCGTGCTAGTTGATCTAGATGATGACAGAAGATTGCGATGACTGAAGGTGGAGTGACGGGAAAGGCGGGGAATGGTGCGTTTGAAAAGAGTATGCGAGCTGCGCCTGGCAAGGCTGCTGAGAGAGACCTTTGTCTTTGTGTTAGCAGTGTAGGCCGTTAAGAAAAGGAACAAGGAGTCTGTGTTGTGCTGGGACGCATGCTGACACTTAGCTTTCTGGCAGGAGATGAGAAGACACGTCTCCATACTGAAGCCTGACTCGGCACACCTGGACCCTCAGTGGGGCCAAAATATGTCCCCTAATTAGGTGTTTTAGAAGGGGAATGACTTTGTGTGAAGTGCAGACTAAACTAGATTATGAGCTACGCTCCTCTTCGAAGATTTTGAAATGATTAAGCCTTTGAAGAGGAGGGGAAAACAAAACAAAACATGTAAGCTGTGACAAAAAAAGTCATAAAAAGTGATGGACGACCTTTCACAATATTTGTATCTGAACTACAGCCAGCAACTGGAAGGCAGCCTGTATCATCGCTCGTCTCCTGAGGCCACGCATATTGTGCTTCAAATTCTAATAATAGAATTTGGTTAGACTTACAAAAGTCCTCATAAAAACATCACTATAATACATATATAGAATAAGCAAACACTATTAAAGGAAGAGGATAGAGTAAGGGGGAAATAGTAAGCTTGAGGAATAAGTGTCCAGCAAATGTTTTTTTAAAAGGTTTAGTGCCATCTTCAGAAACCAGTTATTCTATATTTGTCTAAAACAGTGTTACTAATTATATCCTATATATAGGAAAGGCCCATTCAATCAGTGGAATATCAGCAGTGGAGACAATGTGGCACTGCTACAAATGCATCTCTATCTTTACTTGATTTGGACGTGCACGGACTACTGTTAAAAGCTTGGCTGGTGCAGATAGCAGCTTGTCTTTATTTTCAAACACCTACTCAGTCACTTCTACCTGTTCTGCCCTGCGCAGAGATAAGAGCCAAAAACAACATCCGAAGTATCTTTTTGTGATCTCTGTTGGAGAGAAACTCCACAAGGCAGCGGTGGGCAGATGAACAGTCTTTATTTCATTTGTTATTAAGCTGCATCCAGTCTGCTGTATTTGAAGGGAATGAATCATCGACTTGAGGTTGTCCTGGATTGCTTGTGTTGCGTGTGATGTGAGCAAACTTTTCATATTGTGTCCTGGATATAAACTTAGGATCTACATCTCTTCGGCACAGTGGTGCAGTGGTTTCCAAACACATTAATGTTAGGTTAACTGGTGCCAGGCAGTCAGCCTAGGGCCCATAAAAGGATCTCTGGCTCTCAGGCCAATTTCATGAAGCCTGCTTCTGATTGTTTGGTGTGGTAGTGTTCACCCTGTTCGTCTTTGTACAAAGGTAGCAGATACCAGTCCTCCTGATAGATTAAGGAACTTCTATGACCCTGTCCAGCTACCCTAGAGTAACTGTCTTTCTCCTGGAATTGCCTCCATGCCGGGGAGACATAGAACTTCCTGGCAATGGCACATGTGTGCCGTAACAAGCACAGGCCTAGGTACAGAAGATTGAAAGATGTTGGACTACCACTGTAACCTCCGTATGGTCCAAGCATTGTCTACCTCTAGTATTGGTGGCTGGTGCTCAGGAGGTAGAGCAGGTCATCTACTAATTGGAAGGTTGGTGGTTCGATCTCTGGCTGCTACAGTCTGCATGCCAAAGTATCCGAGATATGCTCTTGGGGTTCACCAAGAGCGTTCACTGGCATCGTGGACTCAATTTGGACCATTGTCTTTGATTGTTCGATAGAAAGCACAGGTAGGAAAAGCATAGGAAAAAGTGCTTGTATAAATGTGTGACTGATGCATGTTGTATAAAGTGCTGTGAGCGCTACAGTTGAGTAGAAAAGTGCTATATAAGAATCAGTCCATTTACCAGCAGTGACACCCACAACAGCCAAATGCACAACTAGTGCATGGTGATCCTGCATCAGATCAAAAAGTGTTACTCTGATTTCTTCGAGCAGTGTATTTAGTAGAGGAGTAGCACTGACCACAAACAACTACAATGTGATTTGCTGCACAAAAGCACATGTTCAGCATTACTGGAGCTCACTTCTATTTAATGAGGAGTATGGACTGAAAGGAAGATTCATCTGGATATTGAAAGACTCAAGAAAGTCAACATGGGGCAAAATGAGGCAACTCCAGCTCTAAAGGATCAAGCACAGAGACAGCAATCGCTGACAAAAAGGTGCTGTACCAACTCACCTGAGATAAAGACTACCTTCAACACATATCCTCAGCGTGTGTTTGTGAATAGCCCAACACTACAGGAGGACAGCAGCTGTTACAGTGACAAGGGGCCTTTCCCCCCAATTTCTTGGACCTTGTCTGGCCTTAATTATTTAAAAAAAAAATGGGGGGGGGGAATCAACCATGAACCATTCAGTATTTGCAGCCTCTTAAATGTGGCCCTGTTGACAGACTAAGGCCAGAGGCAGCGTGTGTGTATGGCAAACCATGAACACTGATACTGATAGAAACTGTATTTATGAAACACGTGCATTCAACTGGCCTCTGGTGTTGATGGTCCCAGCTAATGAAATGTGCATAGTCCCACTTAAACCAAAGTCCTTTCATAAGACTTCAAAGAAAGTGCAGCTTTGGGAGGTGTGTACGCATGTGTGCACGCACATCTTCAAGCACAATCACGGCAATGGGTAAGATTTAATACATACTTGGATCAAAGACCTTTTTAAAGATGACAGGCACAAGATATGAGAGTCATTCTTGGCCAGAGGTTAGAGAATGTCTCCTTTCATTTCAGCCACCGAGTGTTGTGGGTCCCTTTTTTCCCCCCTGATTAGCCATGCGACAGATGTATACATTTAGAACTAACTGAGGAAAGACTTTTTAGCAGAAGTAAATCTAGTCGCAGAGAATCCTGTTTGTTCCAGTGAAAGGTGGTGCTGAGCACAGAAAATAATCTGCCTACACTAAGCGTTTGAACACTTGCATCCCCTGCTGCTCTTTAGGATGAATCTCTGAAAGCTGCTCACACTATCTTAAGTATAAGTCGTGATCACAGACAGATGGAACAAACGTGTGCATACAAAAATAAATAATAAAAAAAGTAAAGGAAAACACGACAAGTCAGGTAGTTAAAGTCGATTTACACAAACACTCACTGTGTAACTGATGGACACAAAAATGTGACTAAGTTAACCCAGAATAAAATACTAAATATGTTGTGTTTTATATGCTCATCATGTGAGTTTTACACTACTGTGCAAGTCTTGAGCCACTCCTCCTTTCTTTGCATTTTGCTTCCAAGAAGCCTGCTTGCGATGCCCAAACCCATGGCCACACTCTAAAGTCGGTAACTTTTGTGTATTTTCATTTCTTCATTTGAACACAATAACACACTTTAGTTTCCAATAAGTTTATTGATTGGTTTGGAAAGCTTTTATATTTGATTAGATATTTGAGTTTAGGGTTCAGTGGTTTTGATGTTCTTCTTTGGTATTTAGTTTATTAACAAACTAGCCTGTACTGCATGGTTTTTGTGGTTTATGATTGTGTTTTGTTTAGTTACCCCTCGTGTGTCATAGTGATGTGATCAGCCATCATATATACCCTTGTGTGTCATTTCCTGTTTAGGTCAGTTATGTTTGTTTGGGCAGTTGTTTGGTTTGTTAAGTTTGCAGTTCTTTGCCTGAATTAAGTTTTGTTTCTTTGACCTCTTTTATGAGCTCAACATTTATTACTTTTGTAAATATAATTTTTAGGGTTAAATAAATGGAAACCCTATTTTTCTAATAATTCCTAGGACTCCTCCTGCTTTTTCAACTGGTTCCACCTTATGAAATGTGCTTTGTCACTCATTTTCAGTGCAGTCGCCATTCCTGACCCATTTTTGGAGGAATGTTTTTTTTTCTGGTTCTTAAAGTCACTTAACACTGACCTACAAATCATTAAAGTATTTAAAAAAAAGCACCTAACTCAATGGATGATCTAGTGTCGCGTCTACACATAACTGACAACTTAGCAAAAGAACAACGGTATCTTTAGGTCCTTTATTTACTTGCTGCCAGTCACACCATTTGTTTCCATTTCTTTAGTTAGTGGGAAAAAAAAGAGGAAACTGGACAAGTAGCAGACAAAAGAAGTGTCAGGCCTTAAAAACTGTCCAAAGCAGGTGAACGGTATCTGAAAGTCATGTCAGCCAAGACCTGACAAAGGACCTGAGAGATGTATCTGACCCTTCATCTTATCCATCTACTGTTAACTGAACCTTCATCAGAAGTGGTCTCTGTGAAAGTGTGGCTGACAAAAAGCTATTCTGAAGGAAGGGAGACAGACAGAAATGGCTGAGATTTGCCAAATTCCAGAAAAGTGTCTGAAAATCAGTAGTAACAGGTCTTGTGGAGTGATGAAGCCATAAAATAAAAAAATAAAATAAATAAAAATCAGTTATAAGTATGTATGGACAAGGTCAGGAGAGAGGTTTTCACAGCCATCTGTAAAACATGGTGTAGATTCTGTATTTCAGCCCTAGTGTTGGGGATCTTGTCAAATCTGATGTAAATATGAATCAAGAAAAGTACAGTCAGAGTTTGATCCATCATACAATATTATATGATTGGCAACAACTTCCTTTTTTTTGTTATGACAGTGACACCAAATACACTGCCAATGCAGTAAAAGGATATCTAAATTGAAAAACACTGAGTGGAGCACCATCAGTCACGGACTGCTTTCTCCAGAGCCTGGACCTCAACATTATTGAAGCAGTGTGCAATCATCTTGACAGAGAACAAAAAAGGCAGCCAACATGCGAAAAAGAGCTTTGACTGTCCTTCAAGAAGCCTGGAGAACTATTCCTGAAGACAACTTAAAGAAATGACAGGAAAGCTGCTTTAGATAGTTCAGGCTGTGGTGAAGAACACAGGTGCTCATCCCAAATATTGTCTTTCAGTCTTGTTAGAATTGTACAAGCTCTGTTTTTGTCCTATATACCGTATATTCATTTATGTTTGCACGTTACAATACATATTTGTGGCTCAAAACCTTTGCACAACACTGTATCTGTAAATCCACGGGACCACTGGTTAAGTGGTAGTCTTCCAGCACATCTGCTACTTTGGTATGTGCAGCAACACAAGGTCCAACATAAATCAGGGTGTGGAGATTAATAATTCAATGTCAGAAAATCACATCATTGGTCTCAGCAGACACAACACACAGCAGCTGCAACAAAAAACACCAACAGACTGAGCACTAACACAACATTTCAAAGAAGCTGCTCCAGAAAATTATTTTTTGTCTGAAAGTGTGCAGAGCAATTGATCCTCAACACCTCAAATCTACAGCCAGAGGCAGATGGTGTTGTTTTTCCTTTCATTTAACTTGTAAAAAGATGACTTAAATAAATAAATAAAATGATGATGAAGTCGTCTATATCAATCTGAGCTACTGTAGCGTCTTATGCATCTCATGTCAACAGTGTTATAAAATGTGACACATGCATTTCAGGAATAAAACATGAAATGGTTGCTTAACTATAAAAGTAGAAAGAAGATACGAGGCAGTGTCGCACACTTGACTGATGAGCTGCTGTGATCAGACATCCAAGCATGTGTAGTATTGAACTGGGTGTCATTGCATACAGTTTAATGAGTAACACAACAACTATGGGTGAGTAACACCCACGTGTTTCATCAACATACTGTTTGTGCACATAGTACACAGATTAACAGAAAGCCAGAAAAAAAACAGCTAACAATATTAGTAAGATTAATCTTTGCTGCTGTATTAATGCAGTAAAGCTGACACATACACACACATCCAGACTCACACATGCCCGTTTCTGTACTCACAGTTGCTTGTGATCGTGCATTATAGTCAGACTCCATCTTAGCCAGTCGGATGTTGGTGTCCTCCAGCAGTTCCTGGATATTCTGTGTGTGTTTCTTCTGCAATTCAAACTTCTCCTGCTCCATCTCTGTCACGGCAGCATGCAGCTGCAAGGGCATGAAACATCTACATGTCAGTTACAGATGTTCCTCGCCGCAATTCCAGTCATTGATGACTGATCAATCGTTTCTCTTTTAATTTTTAAAAGTATAAAAACACTTTTCAGCAATCAGAGACCCCATAATACTCTTTTTTTTTTTTTTTAATCAATTCCATCCATTCTCTGCCATTTATCCTTTTTCAGGGTCGCGGCGGGCCTGGAGCGTATCCCAGCTGTCTTTGGGCGAGAGGCAGGGTACAACCTGGACAGATACCAATCTGTCTAACCAATTCATTATATTAAAAACACTCGATGAAGGACTTGTTGAAGGACTTGTGGACTGATGAAGAAATCTCATATCTCACAGTCAAAAGCAGCATCAAATGGGCTTTTAGCTTCAGACTTCCACCAGACCTTCATGCCATACTTTCTTTGTTTATAAAGTATATAGTGACTGAAACTTTTGGGCTTCTGGGTAACAGTTACAAAATAACATTTACGTCACACATTGTAATGTTACATACATACACTCAACAGCCACTTTATTAGGTATACCTTGCTAATAATGAGTTGGCCCCACCTTTGCCTTCAGAACTGCTTTGATTCTTAATGGCATAGATTCAACGAAGTGCTGAAAACACTACTCAGATTTTGGTCCATGCTGACATGATAGCATCACACAGTTGTTGAAGATTTATCTGTAATGGGAATCCCACTGTCATTGTCCAGTTACACCACTACCGGTAGGGCTGTGCGATATGACCAAAATGTCATATCCCGATATAAGAATTCTATCGTCCGATAACGATATAAATCACAAAAATGTAACATTTTCTGTAAATTATGTGAATCTCGGGCAGCTCGACTTGCGAGAAGTGTTTCCAGCTGCGTGTCATGTAGCTGGAGTCGAGTGTTTTAACCGATGCATGAAACTACATTTTTAGACATAAGTTGTAACAGCCGCCTTTTTCATTGTGAGTATTTATTACACGGCGTGCTGCGGGGAAAAGCCTGTACTAACGTTTGAGTCTAAGGTTTATTTTTTAGCACCTGGCGGCTCTTTTTAAATTCTCATCCGTAAATAATCTGCTCTTTCACGTGATTCAGTTTATTTTGAAAAGTCTCAACAGGATCTTGAGCTTTATTGTGAAAGGTTTATGTGGAACATAAACAAGCGGACACATGATGGTGTTACCGTCGTTGTTGCAAACCACAACGCATAAAAACAGGCGCTTGTCCGTCCTAGTGTGGTTATATTAAATATAAGAGAAAGAGAGAACTTTAAGAAATTAATAGAGCCACTACAGTGACCATCAAAACGATGAAAAAAATATTGCCGTAAACAGTTTATTTTGCGACACCACGATAGCGTAAAATGAAACGATAGACGTTATATTGAACAGCCCTAACTACCGGCAGCTTGAAATATTAATAATACAAGTATGGCCATTTTCCTTTGAGCTCTGGCCTCATGTATTCTCTGTAAACACTAGAAATCGTTGCGTGGGAAAAGTAGATCAACAGTTTCTGAAATACTCAGATCAGCCCTGGCACCGTCTGGCACCAATAACCATGCTGTTTAAAGTCACTTAAATCACCTTTACTCCCCATTCTGATGCTCAGTTTGAACTCAGCAGGCCGTCTTGACCATGTCTATGATGGACCATGTTCATGAAGTTGAACAGGTGTACCTAATACAGTGACAGTGAGTGCATACTTCCAAAAAGTGGAGTTAGTACCGTCTGCTTCTTTAGATGTGCAGTATCTCTTTTTGAACAGGGTTAAACATAATTCATATGCTACACATTTTTTTATGTGATCTGAGAGAAAAAAAAATGTTTCTATAACATCATTTAGCACATGCTGAGCGGCCCTGAAGAGATGAGTGTAAATTTCATTAGCATCTTATTGAGCCCCCACAGCTGAGCTAGCTGGAGCTGTAGGAGTGAAAAGACAATTTACCTAGGGCACAGAGCATTAATTTTTCAGCAGTGAAAAAACCCACACTAACTTAAGCACCACATGAAGGAATGAGGTACAGCCTGGCTGCTTAAAGCAAAGTCTGCTTGTCTCATGCTAACAAACAGTCTTCCTCTGGCTCAGGGCTGCTTACACGGCGTTGGCCTGTAGAATTTCTAAGCCCTTCAACTTATCCTCATACCTTCTTCTCCCACTCGTTTTTTAAAGAGTCGGCGCTCTGATCCGACATCTTCTTCAGCTCTGCAATCTGCTTCTCTTTGCTCTCGCAGATGACCTGGGATTCTCGCAGCACACTTTGAACTGCAGGTAAGCGCAGACACAAAACACACAAAAGAGCAGTCAGGCCCTGCCTCAGGGTATGAACAGATGGACACATGAACAGACATGCACGCACACTTGTGCTCGACTGATGTGCTGTCAGGAAATCAATGACAGTAAAGATTTTGTTTCTATTTGAATGGCTACTATTTCTTCTGTGCGACGCAGTTTTATCATCGGACACTCTTAAAGCAGACACGTGAGAAAAGAAAGGAACAAGACCAAAGGAAGGAAGGAAATCAAGTATAAAAAGACACATAAGGTGACTGAATTTTAGATTGAGCAGCACAGCTGGAGAGTGTCACTCTACACCAGTGCAATCCTTTGTGGAATTGCATCTTTTTAGGCTTTTTACTCCAAGTGGCAGAGACACAAGTATAAACATCCTTCATGCTAACCCCGCAATCACGTGACCTCTCACCTTTCTTCTCCAGCTTACGGATCGTCTCCTCTGATTCTTTTTGCTTGGTCCGGTGAAGGCTCTTAATCTCCTCAATCTCACCATTTTTTCGGTCCAGAATCTACAGATGGAGAGGGAGACACTGAAAGTGTATTCGGCTGTTTTTCTCTTACTGCCAAGAATATGGCATCTGTCATAGCAAAGCTAAAGCTATTAAAGTTTTCGCATGCAAAGTTCACAAAGGCTAAATTTAAGTAAGCACTATGTGACCCAGATATAAAAAAGGAAAATGCAACCGCCCACACTGAAAGACAGCGCAGAGACCCTGGAGTTTTTGACAACCAGCAACACTAAAGAAGTTTTGTTTGTTTTTTTGGTTTTTTTGTGCAGAGTTTCTTGCTTTGTGAGCTCATGTATACCCCCCCCCACACACACACACACATATAACAGAACATGCAGCTAAGTATTCAGACTCTACTACTACTATTACTACTCTTGTAGGTAGGGGTCACATAGGAAGTAAACATGAATATGAACATTAATAAATCAAAAGGTTTAGGAAAAAAAATTATGTATATTTATTAGAGGTGCAGCGATACACAAAATTCACGGTTCGGTTCGATATTTTTTCGATACAAAAAAATGTTCATGCCTTTTTAATTTGTCATTTATTAAAATTATAAATATATATTTTAACTCAAAAGTACAGTTTTTAAATTTAATGTTGCTGAAACAA